CCTATAATAATTCTTAGCTGGGGATTGTAGAATTAATGCATAGGTTGTCTGCCTTTAAGTCCTCCAAGTATTTGCCTATAGTTCCAAGAATCAGTTGCACATGTGTGTACTTTTATTTTTAAATGCATATATTATGATAATCATAACAATTAATTCATTTGTATTGCTGGGTTCGTAATAGCATTTTGCCAGTAAACATCTTATTCATGGACTTACTAAGAATACCATCTGAAAATGAAAAGCATTTTTTATTCATTTCTTGTCCTATCAAAAAAGTTGAAAAAGTCTAACTTTTATAAAAAACACTTGGTATTTTTTCCCCCTCATCAGTATCATGACGAATATCCTAGGTCAATGATGTATTAATGTTTTGAAGCAGGACATGCTGTGATAGAAATGACATTCAGATTTCATTCCTAACCTCACAAGCATATCTTGTAAAGATTTTGGGGGAAACTGTTAAGCCCCCCTGAAGGTACTTTTGCATAGGAAATGGGTTCTATGCTAAAACTGTCATGTTTCTGGAGCTTGAATGCCCACATGGTGAATGTTACTGGTTGCCAAAAATAACCAGATAGGTAGTTCATTCCTTCACTTGTTCATCTAAATAAATCAATGCTTTTTCTTCACTTCAGGTACTGTGTCATTTTGCCAACTCCCACTCTGTTAGACCCAGACTGGGTTTAATTTTATCATATCCTAGTTAGAAAAATTATTTATTGTTTTGACAGGATTTCTATTGTTGAAAGTTATAATAGATATTCTAAAGAATTGCTGTATGAATAGTTGAAGATTTTTCTTGCAGGGGAATAATCTTTTAAAGGCCTACTAGCTTAGTATAACTACTTAAAGGAAGTAAAATGCCATTGCATTTACTTTGAAAGATTTTTTTTAACTTCCTGCAAAGAGGTCCCTTTACAGTATTTTTGGAGAAGTAAGTAAAACCGAATCTGACATCACCACCCTCTAGTTGCTAGCTCCATGTAGCTGGCAAGTGGTTTGCTCTTAGGGTAGCAGAGGAGGAAATTGCTCCCCGTCTGATAAAACAGCAGTGAAGCGTATGCATCCATTTCTTTTATTTTTGATTTGGGTTTACAGAGAAAATCTTTTAGAGAGATAACCATTACTTTGCCTTTCAGGGGGACGCATGCTGTTTCTTAGGGACACGGCTGATTTGCAGATATGACCATGTATATGTGGCTTAAACTTTTGGCATTTGGCTTTGCCTTTCTGGACACACAAGTGTTTGTTACAGGTAGGTACAAGAATATTCATATTTCCTTAATTGGTTTTTCTTTTCTTTTGGAGAAACATTGATTTGAAATAGATATTAAAAATAAATTGTGTTTTGGGGACTGGACGTGATAAGTCTGCTGTAAAATGGTCAAGATTGTTGTGGCTCCAGGAGACATGGCTTGTTTTGTGACAGAATATATTGTTTCTGTTTAAAAATGTATATGTATTTGGTGTGGGGGAATCATAACTTAAACAAAAAAAAAATAGCATCTGTTTAGTTACAAACTATTAAGGTATTGTGAAAGCAACCCTGCTACTTACAACCCTGCTACTCACGGTGATGTGAACACGTGTTGGTGAAAGTCTGAGGAATTGTTTAATGACAAAATAAATGGGTTTTGTTTTTAGCAAAAATTGAACTGTTTTTAAAAATCCTAAAATGGCTTTGGTTGCATGAAAGCCACTCCCTATTTTCGGATCAGGAGTTTGCTTCCTCAAATTTTATTACTATTGAAACGTCTGAAATATTTTATTGAATACGTAGGTACATGATTGTTCAAAAAATACTCTTAGGTATTTAATGAAACTTTCAACATCTTCTTACCACAGGATGCATTTTAAGTCAAACTTTAGTTCCTTGCTAATAATTTTAATGATATTTTGCTTTGGACATTCTTATAGGGCCACCGCCCTTCCTGGGCATCCTAGCCTTGAGGAGGTAGAGGTATTTAAATTTTTAAGAATCATGCAAATGCTATGTCTTACACAAAAATTCAATGGATTGGGCCTTTGGTCTCTATTTAAGCTTGAGATCTTTGTACAGTTATGATCTACCCAGTGGGTGTTTCTGGAAGATTTTTAGTTTGGGTCATGAATACATTTTGGTTCATTATTAACTGTAACTAATAGATATTTAATTTTTCTCCTTATGATGTAGGAAGTTATTATTAAAACATCGTTGAAAGTGGCATCTTTGTAGAAATTCCAACCATTTTTTAAATAAAAAAAATATTCAAAAAATCTTATTTTGTGAGCTTTTCCCCTTTCTCCTTCCCCCTGAAAGTCAGGGCAGCCTGATCGGGTTACATTATCCGTCCATATTTTAAGTAACTAATGACAGTGGAAAGAAAAACACTGTACTTTAAGTTGTATTTCATTGTAAAGCTGGATTAAAAAAAAATCTTTGTAGGTACAGCATTTCTTGGAGTATGAAACATGCTTGCCAAACTGCCACCCACCCCCGTGAAGTCTCTTTATTTATTATAATCCAAAGCAAAATATAAAAAAGCAGTAATTTCATAAGATAATATATGTGTATTTTCATAAATCAGAGGACATTTTCACTAAAAATTCCCTCTCAGAAAATGTTATAAAGCATTTATAAATGAATATAAAGGAATATGGAAATATTTTGTAGATCAATTCACCATAAGAATTCAAATCAGTTTGTTAAAAATGTTTTTCATCATAAGGAAAATCTTTGAATTCATGATCAAAATAAAAGTATAATAGAATCTGGAAACCTTTAAATCAACTTTTCTAAATAATTTATACTATAAATGGATAGATATACATTGTTCTATTTTAAAAATTCAAGTTAACCTTTAATTGTCACATTAATATTAAAAACAACCATTTTTCTAAAAAGTATTGGGAGTCTTATTGAGTATATAAATATTTGGGGAAAACATGTATTAACATAATCCTGTGTCTACAAATTTGTTTAGCATACTTTTAAGTTCCAAGAGATATTTTGTGACTCAATGTATAATTTGGCAGGTTATTGTTTAAATTTTGTATTTTTATTTATTAGCTACAATTCTGTTTTATTTAAATGTGTTATAATTGGTTTAGTGTGTACAGGAAATAATAAACATTGGACAGCAAAATCTACACTTTTTGTTCTAAAGGTATAAAGAAATAGTCAAATGTAGATGAGACATCAATGAATAAATATGCACACAACTCAGATGCTTTATTTAATATCTAAAATGCCATGTGGACAAGGTCAAAGTTAAGATTCGCCAAGGCAAGAACAATGCTGGAAACAGTTTTACACAAAAGTTTTGACTCTCCTTGCATTGTACCTCTAGGCCATGACAATTGAAAAATAAATCCTTGTTTAAAATTCCTAACTAATTCTAGGGAAGAATGATGATTTTGACAGCACAGGTAGAGGTGACTGTTCTCTGGCCATAATGAAGGCATAATGCCAGGCAAATCTACCTCTCCATGGCAGAACAAAACAGTTAAGAGTACTTTGAATTATGCCTTGTGAAATGTGCTATAGGTTTTGTTATGAGTCATAACAGTTGTCTCATTTCCTGGACATAATTCTTCATTTTCCATCTACGTTAAAAAAAAAAAATCTCATGTCACAAACACATCCTGTATCTTGCACATCACAGACATTCAATGCAAATTATTAATTGAATTTGATAAGCAATCCAATTAAGTGTTAAATGCAGCTTAAGAGAATCTGGGGTGTGTATAAGATTGCTTAGGTGATCTTTTAAAAATATTGCCCTACTAAAAACTTTTCTTATCATTGCTAGATTTTTGTTAAGGGAAGATAAAGTGGGATTGGAGGTCTGTATCTTCTTTCACTCTCTTTCTCTTACATAACGAAACACAGAAACAGAGTAGTTAGCTTAAGCAAGTTTATTTCCCTATTCTTCTTATATCTTTTCATCAGTGGCAAATAAGTAGTGTAAAAACACAAATATTGCTACATTATTCGTATACCTATCTACATAAAGATAAGAATATATTCTGTGTGAATTATGTTCTATATTCATATATGTGAGTTATATGTGCTATTTGGTATCTGTCTTCAATCTAACTACTGTTTCTCCATATTTATCTGCCTTTTAAATTTTGGGGTGCTATAAACTTGGCCAGTTATTATTCTTACTTTCTACAGTCTGGGTTGTTTACTGTTATCTACTATGTACTGTGCTCCTATTTCTCCATGTCTGGATTACTCCTATAGAAATATGAAACCTACCTCCTTTCCTAAATACAAATATTTAACATGCTTCTCCGCTCCTGAAATTTTGCTTTTAGTAATCTCTAAAATCTTTTCTTCATTCTAATTCTCCATTGCCATCACCATAATCCATGGCTATATTAGTTTTCACCTGTAATACTGTAAAAATTTCCTAATCCCTCTGTTTTTTTTTTAAAAAATAATAGTTTCCTAATCAGTCTCATCCTTTTTCTGTACATTATTGAGTTTAAAAATACAATAGAAGGGGGAAATTCAGATATTTTCTCATGGTGTAGTTTCTAATCTTGTAGGCAGAGCAACTGGGTGTGCCATTAAGCTGAGAGTTGGGCATGGAGCTGGTGGTGATCTTTCCTTCCCTTTCTAAGGATTGAAAGAGAATAAGCAGTTCTTCCACACTCAAGGCCTCTTTCGCCCTGTGCAAGTCCCATCTCCTCTCTGACATTCTCTTTTGTCACTCTTGCCACAAAATATCTCCACCGAGAGTGGGTCCTTTTACTACCTTTCCTTGGCATTTTCAAGTACTGTTTTAACGGTTGTGATGATGGTGTTGATATGTTCCTCTGTGGATTCACTGCCATTATAGCCTATGTAAATGCAGAAACGATATCTTAAGCTTCTTCATATATTCTATACCTGATTTCTCACCAGATACTGAGTAAATAGTGAATTTTCTTAATAAATTCATAGATTATAGTCAAGAAGAAGAAGGAAGAGGAAGACAAATCAGACAAATCTCAGAGAGGGTGGTCGAAAGAGAATGTGAGCAGAAAAAAAATTTTTGAAGACTCAAGTGGAAGGGTGGCTTTTGCCTTTTTTTTTTTTCTTGTCTGGAGAGGTCTCCCTGGCCTCTTTAAAATCTATAGTTTGAAATGTTTCTAAATTTTCTTCCACTGCTTTTTGGACATTTTTGCTAATGTCATAGAGTAGGTCAGCATCATTATTCAAATGTAGGTTCCCATAAGAAGAAAAGGAGGGAGTGGAGACGGAAGCGCTCACGAGAGAGAGCTCATGTGACAGGACAGTACAGTCAAGGCCAGTCCTTGCACATGTTGGTGGGACACTGATACTAGTTCACTGGAACTGTTTTCAAGGGCAGATAAAGATGTGTGAAAATGGAGAGTTTGAGGACTAGACAGTGAGATAGTGAACTTCAGTCTGAGGTAAAATCCTGAGACTTATAGTGAGGATGCTGCATTTTGTTGGTGAGCACACAGTGTTAATGAAGACAAAGGCGCATGTTCAGAACAGAATCTATTAACTCAATGGGGTAAAGAGAAATTTTTCATTACCCTAAACAGTCTTCATAGCATTATGAGATTATTTATGCAGGAAAAAATGGAATCAAAATTTAACTTCTGTTTAAACTCAGTTTAGAGTAAATATCTTTGTCAGTACTAGATGCCTTGTCTCACAGCAGTGGCTATTACCAGAGGATTAGTGATATATATGACTTTTACATATGGAAAGAGAGCAGTATATATATATATATATATATATATATATATATATATACACACATATATGAAAGATAAAGAAGCAATTATAGTAATCACTAGATTTTGCCTACACAGCCCTAACCAACATTTAGATTAGAAAATATCTAATAATTATCTAAAAACTTAATCTACATTCCAGTTTACATATGTCAATGTATTATTTCGAATTCTGTCTGTCAAAAAGCCTAGGAATAACAGTTGTATGCAGAAAATTATATGTTTGGGAATCACAAAACAATCAAGAGAGAATAAAGGAAGATACCAAAACTTTTCTACTCTTTCTTCTAGGACAAGCAAAAATTCACAAAGTCAAGGTTAGCAAAATAAACAGGCATCTACTGTGTCCATTCACAGTACCTTCAATGGATTCACTTCTACAAAGATAATCAATGAAATTTTAAAAGTTTTTTTGGAGTCCTGACTACAGACCCAAATTTAAACAAAAGTTAACATATTTCTATGGTGCTTATTTATACATGTTTAAGACATTCATTTCCTGCTAAAAATGAGACA